ATGTAAAGCATTACATGTCAGGACAAAAAACATTTTTAGATAAAGAATCTAGTGGGCAGCTGTAATTTTTTTAGGAAAAAATCTAGTCTGCCGCTGTCACTTTTTAGGATGTTTCTAATATTGTTTTATTTGACATTACCCTACTGCAATACGTTATTATCTAGATTATTATTATTATCATTATTATCACTAGATTCTTAATCTAAAAATATTTTTAATCCTGACATGTAATGCTTTACATTTTATTTTTTAATTTCAAATCGGTGAGTTTTATAAAAAAATACAAGAGATAAAAAAGTTTCTAAACAAACTAAACTATCCAAATTAATTTTTTTGCATGTATGTTATAAGATTTTTCTTTAAATTTCGTTAACAAGAATGATAGGGGTAGTTTATTTCAACCCCTTCCACTCATTTTAAAAAAGTGAAAAAATTACCAGAAAGTGTGTGTTCATAACAGTAATGCTTCCATAAAATTTCATTAGTCTATCTCTTTTCGTTTTCAAGATAAAAAATAAGAACCTTATTTTTCCGCCATCTTTGTACCGCGATATCTCCCTAATGGTTGACTTTTGACCCAACGTTTATGAAGCAAACTACCCTTTATTTTGAACAAGGAATCACCCCCTGAAGTTTTTCGCATTTGTTTTGAAACACCCTGTATAAAATTTATTGAAAATTGTCTTCCGCTCAATCTGTAAATTATTGTTTTAGGGCAAGTTTCAGTTCACAATGCGTTCGTTGTTGTATAGTCGGTAGTCGGTCGCTAAGTCGGTCGCCGAACGATGTACTGACATTAGTTTATCTTTCATTCCAAAAGGAACTGAGAGAAATATATTATGGACTAACATTTTGAAAACAGATTCACAAGCAATAAGCGACAAGACAAGAGTAAATATTTCCCAGACTGTTATATTCGTAGACTAAAAATAAAATATAGACTACACTATTTACATCTAAACGCGGTCAAACAATCTTTTTTGTACACATGTTTACTTCTGGGTACAGTCGATCGAGCCTTCCCCATCCAGCCTATGTTGTCACGTCTTTAATATTATCAATATTTTTGTTCTTGTTATACACATATATTGAGATATTAATACTACATTTTAATAAAGTAGGTTTTAATATTCCATAGATGTATTAAATAGTCCTTATACTACTAAATTTTAAGTCGGATACTATTTAAAAAGGATAAGTTCTTTACAATATGGCAACACCAGTTATGTCCCCGGTTGTATTAACGCATTTTTTTAGCTTGTAGTCCTTAAGTGTTTGTTTTATTTACTTTTTCTGTTCAAGAACTATAAAATATGTTTCACCAGTGCCAAATTTGCAAGAAATTTGACTGAAATAATCCATTTAAGTCTTGAAACGACTTTCGACCGGTAGGCAACTCTCAATTTACCCATTAGGAGTCAGTGGCGTTGTTGTAGACAGACGCTTATTTAGATAATATTTTAGTAAAGTGTAAAATCTGATTTTTTTCTCTTACATAATCATTTATATAAAGTTTTTGTAACAAAATCATAATTATTATAACCCTGTTAATAATTAATAATGTTTTTATTAAAAATATATTCCAGTTTATTCTAAAATTGTCTTCAGAATCTAAAATAACATAATAACATACAAGAATTTTAAAATGATATTACATTATGAAACAATATTTTTTAAAATACCGGGTTTGTCCCAAAAGTGGCTCACCCCTATAACTTTTTTATTTTTTCAGATAGAAAAATGGTAGTAGGTATCTACATATGTATATAAAATGCTAATGTTTATCTGTGTCGTCTCTACTGAAGTAACGACTTGCTCTAGAAAGTTGCTTATTTACTAAAAGATAGCTAATTGGCTCTTCTAAAAACTGTCGTCGCCAGATTTTTTCTTTTACATTTAATAAAAAAATAAAAATTAAAAGTATTTTTTTTTCTTGATGTCGTGGCGGATGCGCCAGGCTTCAACTAGTTATGTCATATACTAACATACTAAATCTTGTTTTTTTATTTGAAAAAATACAAAAATTATGGGGATGGGCCACTTTTGGGACGCACCGGGTATAATAAAGACAGTGCCGAGTTAAATAAATGTAGTTTTCATTTTATCCACTTCCTATCACCTTCCTTGTTTTAATGAAACATATTTATGTTTTCTCTAATTTACATAATAAGACATCACTTAACCAGAAAAAAAATACAACAATTATAACAGTTTTTTTTTCTCTCCCTGTCGCCGATTCTATTATATCTGTAGAATAGATCCTGTTTTGATTAATATTAGGGGTTGTAAATGTTTGACTAAAATTAATATTTTTTTATTAATTTCAAAAATTACGTAATTTTGATTATAAAATTTCTTCTATAACATGATGTATTTTATTATTTTTATCCTTTTTGGACTCTAAGACTTTAAAGAAACCTCTCCTAAATCTTAATAAAATATAAAAAAAGTTTAAATACGATATATTTTTAATTTAATTATAGCTTCATTAAAATAAAAAAATTACCCGGCTATGATACGGAGAGTTCAGGTGTACTTGAGAAACGAAAGACAGTGTTGCGTTTCTCGTCAGAGTCGTCAAGGAACGACCGTTACGACAGAGACAACCTATCTATCGCTCGTGTCGCACTCGTTATAACCTAACACAACAATAACAAGACATTTTCTGACGGCATGTTCCAGCTATTTATGAATGAGATGCTCAGTCAATATTTTATTTTAAGTCTATGGTTATAGTATACTTGTAACTTACATCAAGAAAACTTTGTTTTAGGTTTACTGGTGTCATTTTAGAGAAGATTTTATTATTTCATTTTTCAACTAAAACAACATTTCAAAACTAAAACCCCATTGCATACCACGTTTATATCTGTATAATAACGCAGAAGCCAACGAAGCTGTACAAAATATAGAAACCAGTAAAATACCAAAAAAATAAATTCCAAAACAAAGAATACTCGATTACCCGATTAAATCATAGGCGATATATAAATCTAAATTTTTAATTGAGAACACAATGATAATGAAATAAATTATTATACAGGTGTTAGGACTCTTAGCAATAAAATATAAGTAAAATATTGTTAACAATATTTATATTTTCAAATCAGAAAAAGGACCAATTGGTGCAGTGCACCAATATATTTTGAAGAGAAAGGACTAATTATTATGATTAATCCAAACAGAGCAATAATATTTATATCCATATTATGGTATGTTATTAAGTTTGATGATGTTATCTTTCATTGGTTTTTTACTTTTAGGATCTATATTGGATAAAAAGATCATTGAATAGTGGTTTTTTATATTTATTAAAAATAAAGATAGAAAAAGGCAAATTAAATGCAGGGGACATTATTTTAGCTGATAAAGGTTTTGAAATAAACAGTATTTTAGAGCATATTAGTATCAAGCTCAACATTCAAAGTTACTGGTATGCAGTTTCAAGACAATGACGTGGAATATATCGGGAAAATTGCACATGAAAGAATACATGTGGAAAGAGCGATAAGAAGAATTAAGGCATTCAGAATTTTAGCTTCTAGATTACCAATAAGCTTGTTGAGTTCTATTAATCAAATTTGTACTGTGTGTGCTCTTTTAACAAACTTTATGCCACCATTATGAAAGTGAATCTTTAGAGAGATCTGTATATTATATCACTTATTTACTATTTACTCTTTATTGAATTTTAACCAAATATAGAATTGTTTTCTATAGTTGTAAGATTTTAAGGTAATTTTTAATTATTTGTATTATTTTTATTTTTTCTTTATTCTGACATATGTAAAATTATCTGTGATTTTTTGACATGAAATAAATATCTATAAACTATAAATCTATCTATGTTCTAGATTATAATTAAATAGTATTATGGATTATGGTATTATCTTTTTTTTTACTATTACGCAAATAAGTCAAGCATTATTGCCACTTCACCAGTCATTATAAAAAGGATAAAAAGTAATAAAATTATTCTATTATTACTACTCATTTACTCTCTATTTGGCGCTATTGCCAGGAAAATAGAAACATTTATAATTTATATAGAATATTGTATTTTTTTCTTAAGTAGACGTAATATACAGTGTGTCCCCCCCGGATTGCCTTTACAAGAGGAAAATCTATTTTATTATTGACATTTGAGAAAAATGCATTCTTCATGAAAAATTTTGCTTGTGCTATAGTGGTAAATCCCGTTTATACTTTTCCAAGTTTCCATAACGTTTTAAAGAAAATTAAAAAAAAACATGTAATTTTTTTTTAATTTTTTAAGTCCTAAAAATCAAAACCTGTTTCTAAGTTAATACAATTTCGTTTTCATTCTTTGATAGAAGTTTAATTAACGTCATATTTTTTGCTGTTTTAAAATGTTAAAGAAGCACAAAATTATTTAGTTCAATGCTAGAGAAAGGGTGATGATACTTTACTACAGCAAAAAATATGACGTTAATCAAAATTAATAATAACCATCTATCAAGGAATTAAATTTAAATTATATTACGATAGAAAATCGTTTTGATTTTTAAGACATTTTTAGGAAAAAATTCAACTATATTCAATATAGTTTTTTAAATTTACTCTAAACGGTATAGAAATTTAGAAAAGCATAAACGGCATTAATAGTTTTAAAATGAGCAAAACTTTTAATGAAGAATGTATTTTTCTCAAAATGGCAATAATAAAAGTCTCCTCTTATAAAGACGATCGGGGGACACACTGTATAATATAATAAAAATAAATATTACAAAATAAAACATTTTGTCAAAAATCTAAATATATATTACTATCATTATTTCATGATTTTTTCTTAAATACACCACCATATTTGCCGTTATCTCCTTGTAGCCAAATGCGCCTTTCCAGTTGTATATCTTTACCAAACGAAAATTCATGAAAGTTGTTCTCTTGTGGCAAAGGGCAGCTAATTAAAATATTTCTAGTGATAGTATGTATTTAATATGGGTAGATTAACTGGCATATCATCATTAGAAATATCTTTCCCTCCTCTATTTTGTTGACCAAATATAGTAATTTCTGGATCTGAAAATATAAATGGTATTACTCAACACATATATTTCATAACTTGAACACTGTAATATTATTGGCATAATTATAACGATATATGATATAAAAAATAAGTATAATTTTGAAAGGTCAAAAGTGAAGTATAAAAACCTGCAAAAGTACTTACTGGTATTCTCTGTAGAAATAAAAAAAGATAAAGGTATGCTCTTATCAATCTTTTAAAAAGGTTCTTCTAGTTTCTGTAATTTTGTGGGCAAATCATCTGCTTATTCATTCGACATCGCAGAAGTGCTATGAAGAGCAATTTTTGTTACAACGGGGGCCTTCCTTCTCAAAATATTTGTAGGTTTTTGGAATGTGAGATACCTTGCATCTTCAGGAATTACTTTTGTCCCACGTGGCTTATTACATATCATAGCTTGGGATGTTGAAGCAATGTGCTCGGGAGTTTCATATTCTACTCTTAATATAATGTCTTGCAAATAAAATTCTAAACCCAGCAAAAGATGGCAAGACTGGGATGAACTAAAAGAAATATATAATTTATTTTAGTATTAATGTTAAAAAATAATAGTCAAATACTCACCCAACTTCACAAGAACAATGACATTCTTGTATGCATAAATGTGAACTTGACATACAAACTATATACATAAAGTATGAGGTTTTTAAATATGATTGGTCCACATTTTAAATGCAGTAAAACTGTAAAGCGTACGCAAAATAATAAAACAAATATAAAAACCAAGAAATAATGTTCAAAGAAAACTCTAACCAAACTCTATCTCCAAAACAAAACAAAATTGACAAACACGGATGACAAGCCACATGCAACTAGCTAGGACCTACGATCTTCCAGTCTAGCAAACTTATCTTCATGCGCGCATTACGACCGCTGTTTTCGATTAACGGGAAAGGTCTATTGACACAGTCCGAAAATTAACGATTTTTATTTTCTCTGTTTTTATTGGTCGCTTCAAAATTCAGAGGAACAAAAAATATTTTTCTGTAGCCAAAAACTGGGAAATACGCCCCGCCATCTGGTACTTTACATCCATAAACGTCTTAGGTTGAGCTACTTTAAAAATTCATATACAAGGATTATACGAAAACGGAAAGATGTAGAAACAATTTTTTATGAGTATATGTAGAGAGATCATGTGCATAATTTAAAATTACTGTCAATTGTACAGGGTGTGTCAGAACTAAGATCGATACCAAACTTATATTTTTTCTTGTGGAACACACCCAGTATTTTATTTCATTTTTGGAATCTTGGGCATAAAATAGGGTATTTATTATAAGGGTTTCATATGTTTAAATGCTTTTGATTTTGAGATATTTAAAGATATTTAAAGATATTTAAAGATATTTAAAGATATTTAAAGATATTTAAAGATATTTAAAGATATTTAAAGATATTTAAAGATATTTAAAGATATTTAAAGATATTTAAAGATATTTAAAGATATTTAAAGATATTTAAAGATATTTAAAGATATTTAAAGATATTTAAAGATATTTAAAGATATTTAAAGATATTTAAAGATATTTAAAGATATTTAAAGATATTTAAAGATATTTAAAGATATTTAAAGATATTTAAAGATATTTAAAGATATTTAAAGATATTTAAAGATATTTAAAGATATTTAAATATGCATGCTATAATAAAAAAGTTTTTCAACACCCTGTATATTACTTTTCACATTTAATTCTTGTTCTGACTTTGAAGCCAGAGAAATAAACTAAAAAATGTTATTGCTTCCTTAAATGTATACAGGGGTATCAAAAATTGCTGGTCTATTTTAAATATTTATTTTACGCAAAAACTTCGTTATTTCAAATTCAACACTATGTACTTTTTTTAAATAAGTCGAAGCAAATTGAAATGCTCTTTCAAACTATATTAGGGTTTCCTATACCTATCTGGATCCGATTTTGAATAAAAAGCAATTTTTCAATAAAATGGTAATCAAGATGGCTGGTGTCGCCATGGCAATTTGCTAGTAACAGTTAGTAGCTATTTGCAAAATCGACATTAATTTTGTTGACTTTATTTAAATTTATAATAGTTTACTTTTATTTAATTTATCTACAATAGTTTAATATGTAAGTATATTTATTATTTTATGAAAAAAAAAGTAGTTCTTTGATTTATATTACGATGACTTGATGACTTGTAGATATATTGGATTTTCTATTAAAGAATCAACTAAGACACTTTCATTTTCTTCACTTCCAACGACAAGGTTCTGCCTAATAGATTTTTCATATACCACACTATGAGCCAGGCTCTGCGAAATAAGAAAAGTAGTTTTTTGAAGGATTATAGGCTTGTCAAGAAAATTCCAATTTGAAACTTGGAGCATAAACCAACAAGCAATTTTCCTCACAAAATAAAATCACTAGTAATATATCCATTCGTTGCACCAACAGATACTGCTTCATTTTTTGATAAAATAATAAATATTTACTTATTAACCTTATTGTAGGTAAATTAAATAAAAATAACCTGTTGTAAATTTAAATAAAGTCCATAAACTAATGTCGATTTTAAAAACAGCTACTAAGTGTCGCTAGAAAATTGCTAACCAGCCATCTTGATTACAGTTTTAATGAAAAATCGCTTTTTATTCAAAATAGGTATTGAAAGAATAATATATAGAAGAATATATAGAAATAGGATATAGTTTCCCTATACCTATAGTTCCCTAGTTCCCTATACCTAGAAATAGTTCCCTATACCTATCTGGCTATATGCCAGATAGGTATAGGGAACCCTAATATAGTTTGAAAGAGCATTTAAATCTGCTTCGACTTATTTAAAAAAAATACATAGTGTTGCATTTAAAATAACAAAGTTTTTATGTAAAATAAATATTTAAAATAGACGAGCATTTTTTGATACCCTCGTATAGATTTAAGGTAGCAATAAAATATTTTAAAAAAGATCCAAAAACACAAATAAATTAGATTTGTGATTTGCCTTATACATACTTGTATATTAAAATTTTGTATTTTCTTTTGTATTTTTTTTAATAAAAATTCTATAACAATGCTTATATCATATATTTTATATCAATATAGTTTGTATCAATAAAATTTTATTGGCGCAAAATAAAAATATTTATAAAATATCTCAAAATAGAACTTTCATCAACGTTACAGCAAACTGTCAGTGCCTAATATTGTGAAATGTTTTCACAAGGTTCTAAATAATCTTGCATCAACGTTTCTTTCTGCAAACTACGGGAAATATTATGGAACCCTGCAATGAAAGAGGCAATGTTGCAACTTGCTTTTTGAAGTTTCGCCAATGTTGCAGCAATAAAATTTTGCTTGTAGGGTTGCTAACCGTTCCATCTAGAAACGAAATATGAAGAGACAAAAAATAACTAATAAACTTCATTTATTTGACCTATGTATGCTAAATTATTTTTATTTCAAAACTACATAGATGTGTAGTTAAAATAATGCGGGGGTTAAATAGCTGTTTAGTACACCCTGTATAAATATATGCAATATGAAATACCATAATATGTAGTTCAAAACTAACATTTGAAAATATTTTACAATTTTAGAAAAGTATAATATGTCATTTACTTAACATAGAAAGGAATTATACTGGTAATAAATACATCTAAGTACAATTTTAAGCAAATGTGTAGATGTTCCTAGTTTACTTGTTCTGTTCATTATCGCAAGTATTTCAATTATATTAAATAGGAATAACCAATATAGTTAATAATATTATCAAGTAAGATATAGTTAATAAAATTAGTATCAATAAAAATATAACGGAATCATACATAAATAATATATTACATATTATACAAGGATATTATATAAGAATATTTTTTCAAAAAATTAACCGTGTCCACACAATTATATTTATATATTTTATTATATAAAAATGAATACCAATATTTATGGTATAGGTAATATATTTAGATATTTTAATACAATATTTTTACGAATAAAAAAATAATTTTTGTATATTCAAACTAGTTATATGCAAGAAAACAGCTGCTTAAGTCCAAGAATACGAAGAACGCTTAATCATATAAAACTGTAAGGTCTCGTAAGAGCACCGCCTTTTGCTATGTGTTTTTGCCAAGTGCACGTTGTATTTCAACTAAATATTTTTTTTAAAAACAACACTCGTCGTGCAAGTGATTTAATTAACTGATATTATTCAAGTGTTTCAAAATAATTATGAACATCTTTATGTCAGGTTAGGTTAGGAATTGGATAATTATTTTGAAACTTTATAACACATATTTTATAAACAAATTATTAGAAATATTATTTCATGGATCAAAGTACGTTTCATTGCAGCTTGAATCTCCACATCAAAATATGTGGATGTGGTAAAGCACTGCTGCAGAATATCGTATATAGAGGGATCAATACTGAAACGCGCCGGTGGCGACCTCTGTGAATTTTATCTCAAATATCACAATCGATAACGGCAAACAATAGGGCACAGACCACTGCTACGCTTGAGCCAATTTCCAGCTGAGTTTAATTTTATATTTCAGTCCAGAGATGGCAGCACAAATATAATATTATTTTAAATTAAAAAAAGCCATCACTCAGTGTTTTTAGGACTGCATAATATTTAGTGCGAGGGACAAGGGAGTTGATATAATTTCGAATGAATTATAATAAATTCCATAAAAATGGTATCCCTATATTTGATCAATTAACATGCATGAGATTATATTACCATAAGACATATAGATACAGTTTAAAAAATGCAAAAAGTGTTTCTTACATTTTGTTGTACATAAAGGGTGCCTTATTAAACATGGAAAGTTTATATTTTCGTTATTGGAGAAAGCATGAAAAAGGTTCTGTAGAAATGTTGCATTATTTTTGAAGGTGCATAGTGCATAGTGTGCAGCGTGTGCATAGCCTTAAAAATGTAATGATGAAATTGTAAGCTTTTTTAATTGCAACCCTCATTTTTCTGTACTACATTCATCTGAAATTCCTAGTATATTCTACATCCATCTAATGAGAAATAATGACCCATTAAGTAAATAATGGCAATATAAAAATATCTAGATTGTATAAAAATGTTTTCATTTGGCGAAAAAATGGTTTCATCAAAAGGCCCGGAAATTTAACCATATTCAGCTGTATTAACGAAAAACCCCTTAACTTGCAAGGGGTCGTTTTTTCCACACCTTCTCGTGCTTTTGAAATTCAAATAAATATTACCTCAGGTGTAAATCTAATGGTTATGTTATATAAATGTGTACATACCTAAACAACTAAATGATATACATATAATATCCATAGTGTATGCCATTGGCGAATATGTAGGTATATTCAATAGACATCCCTCAATGTAAAAGCCGTATACATCGGATATTCATAGTATACTGATTTGGCCAAAAATAAAATATCCATGAGACTAGTGATGGGTTGTTATTTAACTATCTGTTATTTTATAACAATTATTTATAAATAACATAACGCAACCGTTACTATTTCTAAAAAATAACAGATATAAAATAACGACACGTAGAGATCGGCCGCTCGTGAAACGAAAAACGAAGTCGGCGCTCTACATCACCACGAAATTCTATGCTGCTCGAAGCAATTCCAAAAAACAACTAGTATGGATGGAAAAC